CAAGCATACAAAGATGACATTGTTGCCGTGAATGTACGCATATAACACAGAAATGTTTGGGTCCGACGACAAATGAATTGACGCGTATGACGCCCACAAAGATAGTTAGTTGTTAAACAAAACGATCATAAATATTGATGGCAGAGAATATTCATTCTATTAGTCTGTTGCAACAACCATGCAAGTACATTTACCGTATACTACCGTGAATAAGCACCCACCCTTATTATAGTGAGGGGTGCTTATTCACGATAGGATCGTCAGCTCTTATCGACATTATTAAATTATCGGCAAATCCGTATAATCCACAATAGCGTTGAGGGGTAGCTTCCAACAGTAATTGCAGTAACCAGAAGCGTACTATTATTTGCATATTTACGTGAGTGGTGGGGGGGGGGGCACGTCATGCAGTTAATCTTGGGAGTGTGTTTATTCACGATTTGGTGCTTTACTTATAGGGGGAAGGTGCTTATTCACGGTAGCGTGCGGTACAGATAAAACCTGTTTAAACCGGCGCTGATTAAACCGGCCGCTTTACGACTACACCAAATTTTTATTAATTAAAAACTTTTTCTAGTTAAACAATTTTCTGAACCGGTCTTTGGTTAAACCGGCCAAAAATTAGCAAACCAGGCCCGCTGGTTTAAACAGGTTTTACCTGTATTTATATTATGAAAATGTATGATAATAGTTCTCATTTTACTGTAAACGCGTATGAGGAATGTGAGATAGAGGATTGAAAGTGAAAAAAAAAAATTGACCAATAGCTATTACTTACCCTTAAGAGCAATAAAAATGCGACAACATAATAATAATAATAGACAATGCTTCGGAGCAGACTCCGTAGAATAGTACTGTACTCTGGAGTTTGCAAAATGGATAATTACGAACACTCCGCTATGGAGTGGCCAGAGTCACTCCAGTGGATGTGTTCCATATGTAGCACTCCAGAATCATTTACTCCATAAAAAATCTTGGGCTTGGCTGTTAATAGATTTTTTTTTTATGATATTATCAGTAATTACATTATATACAGCAATTTATATATCCAAAGCCATCTTGGTCCAAAAACTGAAACAAGTAGAACTGTATGAATAAAAATTATTTATAATTAAATCTTTAGACCACATATACAGTAATATGCAAACTTAATTTTCTGTTCTTTTTAACACGTTAGTAACTATTCACAATCGGCGTGCTGGTTTGCATGCTGTAATTTTGCAATATGCAAAATTAAATTGACGAGTCGATGGAAACTGGTAATACACGTAATCTTTTTACTCGCAGATTACGGAAAGTCAAGTCGGATAAAAATGTTGGCAAGAAACGTGAGATAACGACACACAACTAATGAAAAGGTAGTGTTGTTATACTCGGAAATGATTATTTGCGCGGTTTGCCAGAAGGGTCTGAAATGCCCGTGTTACCTTGCAGACTGGAGGAACGTTTATATTTGCCCCTATATACTAACTTCTGATAGATGGTATTCCAACGGCTTAGTTATCCACAGCAGATACATATCAATATTTGGGTTTATCAAAGATAACGGTATTCACAATATGAATTTTGCTCTAAACGAATACTCTCCGATTTGCAATGTAGTTCTGTGTGGGTATATTTTGGTCTTAAAGATAGACTAGCAAGAATAAGCAGATGAGTTTATTTAGAAGTCTTAATTACAAAAAACTATGCATACTTGGAATCTATTTCATTAATAACACAGATATGGAAACTTACGCGGTCTGTTTATTTCTTTGTTATAAAATGTTCCATTGTTCTGCTTGAAATAAATATGAGACGAATATTTTATTTATGACAAGATGGCTATGAAGTACGTATAATATGTTTATGCATTGGTTACAAACATTGACAATTTCTACAAGCCAAGTGATGTATTTTTTTTTCATGAAATTTACATATGATACACGCCAAGCGAACAAAAGTGTATAATGTCTGACGTGCATGTCGATTAGAACTTAGGATAATCTATTTGTCTTATCGTAAAGCGCCAAGACTACGGCATTGGACCATATATGACGACTTGAAAATGATAATTATATACAATGGATAGAATAAAGAATGACATCATTACGCCCACGGATGCACACATGTAGAAAATGTTTAGAACGAAACCAAATGAACCGACTACGAGAGTGATACTCAAACGGATATTTGACAAACAAAATCATTAGTTTTATCAGGTAAATTATTTAACGAACAAAATGGTGTTATTAACGTGTCGCGCATTTAAATCGACTAGTATCACAACTTCATTTGTCTCGCAATAGCCATAGTTAGATATAATAACTATGAGATTACCCGCTCGGTATTTAGTTATTTGGTTTTGATTATACTAAGTGGTATATAATATGCAAATTTTTTATAAATTGTAATATATACGAGCAGTAGTGGGGTTTGAAAAGCCGTGACAGTTCAGCATGTAGAGGATTGTGCGTTTATGAAGAATTACTGCATTGACAATTTGTCTTTATAAATAAGGTCCCAACGCTTTCGTACGTCCACGTAATTGTCGGTGCCAATTCAATTAGAATTATTTGAACAAGTTGCCTTAATAATTGATTAACCAATTTGTCAATTTGATAAGAAAGACAGCTATTATGTCATTACTGAGAAACGGCATGGCAGAATAAAAACGGAAGTGTGGCTCTTTAACAACGCGGTAGTTGGTACAGTAATTTGTATAACTACTTATTATTTAAAATAAGAATTCCAATTAATGAAAATTTATAGAGCTAGTTATTACAAATTGGATTATACTAGTTTAACTAATACGGTAAAAGCTATTACGACAATCGAACAAGTTGAAGTACATCGTATTGTTAAATACAACTTTACGTGTCGCGATAGTGCTGATCGCACGTTATCAATACATTACGGTCGGAATATGTCTATTACTGCTAGATTATTATAATAATATTTATATGAATTTATAATATACACGAATAATATTTTGCTAGCATTGATATATTAATATGTTCGTATGACTACAGGACTATAGGATGATGAAAAATCATTTGACAGGAGAATACCGAATTAATAAATTACAATGAATACAAAACTGACGTGTCTTACTGTTATAGTAAACCAACTACAGCTTATTTATTTTCTCCTCTATATCAACAAAATTGATTGGTTGTGCATTCTAATCGATCAATGAGTAGTCTGCAGCAATGCACAAAGGTTTAACCTTCGACTATCGACTTTCGAGGCAATTTCCGATTTAGTTGTTTGAGATGTTTTTGTGCCAATAGTATGTTTGGTTGAGAAATTGAGAATTGTGTTTATGATAAACGACGTTCGTTTATGTAGTTAATAATCAATGATAGTCAACATTGACTAATACAAAAGGAGAGCCACGACCCAAATAAAACCAAAAGTTACACATTAATACCAAAATGCCGTAAAGACAACTTTTAACGAGCCAATTAACGATGATGATACTTTGCCCGTAAGAAAAGTAATTTAGCAGTAGAAATGAAACTTGAATTGGAAGAACGTAGTCTGTTTTATCAATAAGAGAATTAATTTATTCGGCAGTAATTATCCGTACTACAGATGACCACACTTAGATACGAATGAAGTTCGCCAATACAATAGTACCATGTATACATGTATTTCTTGACAGCATTCACATTCCTAACATCCGATGCATTATATTTCAAGGTTATGTAGATCACATACACATTACCTATCGAAGTGGGCATTGACCAACTCGGAAAAAGATTCAAGGAGTTAATCAATATCAAACGATAATCAACGAATGTGTCAGTACCATTAAATGCATGGGCCGCCAAGAAAATGTTATCTAATTCCGCGATGCAGTTGTTCGAATGCAAATAAATGCGTTGTGCTTAAGCCCTGCATATCCAGATCATAACAAAAAGTGCAACAAGGTTAGAAAGTAAGGCATGATTAAGCTATTTAACTATGTAAGGAGCCATTCTCCTCCTCCTCAATGCTAGCAATGAGGTTTATTAACCTCCTATCAGTGCAGCGTAATAATAGGGAAAGCAGGTAAAAAACTATGGAAATAACGCATTGTAATCGCAGAGTTGTAAACCAATTCGGACTCGAATATGATTGATCGAACTAATTTCCATTCTCGCCAATGACCTGATTACTCATCAGTCAATCATAAGCAGATAACAATATCTTAACAAGTTTCCTTGTATTATGTATTGCATCGCAGATAAATACGAAAAACTTTAATTTTAAAAAGTCTTTTATTGTCTGTATTCACAAACGGTTTTTGTCGGAAAAGATAGTGATACAGTTGCTATAAATTTCATACGTGTAACATTAATACTCGCTTTTTCAAAAATTTTCATCAACACAAAAGTAAATTAAATTTCACAAAGATTAATGTAACTTGGAGAGTTTCCGATTCCAGTAAATTGCACCATTGTCCGTAAACTCACACGTGAAAAAATTTTCCGTTCTGTATGTAGGATCTGTATGTAGGATGACAACATGGCAAGCATGACATACATGATGCTATGTATGCCATTTCCCCCACCTCTGCCTCCACCCCCACCCTCACCCCCTTAATAAATGCGTTCGATATAGTCTGTGCAATGTAAATCAATCCGATCGTATCAAATGTCGTACATTGGAGAGAATTTCTGGGGAATTCGAACCAAAAGAAATTCAAAATAGGATCCGAATTCACAAGTTTACAATTTCACTTGATTCACTTACCCACCCACATGGGTTTAGTAAAACCCCCTCCCACTCCCACCTCCGATCAAGATGCACCTCCATTATCGTTACTCTATCAACGGAAAGCTAGTACTAAAATGCCTACTTAATGTTACAACAATAACAAAACGCGGGTTACAAATGGGTTTGTCGATTGTCTGTTCGACCTGAACTTTTCCCCCCCTCGTCATCCAACCCTGAAAAAAAAACAAACGTTTTCTCTTTCCATATCGTTAATAGTTGTCTTGTATTCAAAAGGGGTGTGAGAAAAAAATTCCATTATGACGGTAAACCAACGACATAGTAAAAATAGTGCTACTATCGCAGAGAAGAATAACGGAAAAGATGAAGGGATTGTTGCACAGACTGGAAAGACTTGGGGAAGAGATAGAGGTAAAGATCCGATGATGTCTGATCAATAGAAAGGAAAGAAGAATGAGATTATATGAAGAGTTTTCTTTTCCGTTTTTTTTTTACATCGCTTTATTTATACCGCACGTTACCGTCTCTTACCGACTCAACCCATTAGACGTAACAACGCTTAACGTCATCCTCTCTTCAACGATTCTTTTTACCACTCCTCTGTTCGTCTTGTACTTTTGGCTTGTCTGTACTCATTACGAATGCGCCCTTTCCACACCCATCGTGGCGTTTATAAAAAATGGTTTTACGTATGATACGTTCGAGGATGTTTTTCTGAACAAATTGCCACAGTTTTCGTGGCATGCGATGCAGATTTTCTATACATGGTTGGTATTTCAAGGGGTGTTGTATGCTGTCTTGCCGGCGAAGATTGGGTATGGACAAAGAACACCTGCTGGATATATCTTGCCGTACAAGGTTGGTTGGCTTTAATGATAGTAATGGTGAAAACTAGAATTAAAAAGACAATTATTCGTAATGAGGAGATGATTTCAACAACAGATGGCAGGAAGCGGGTTTAATCGATCATACCCCTTTCTTTTCTTTAAAGGTAAATGGACTTCTCGCTTGGACGATATCCCACGCTGTCTACCTCGCCGGTGCCTACTACTTTTCTTGGTGGTCTCCATCCATAATCCATGATAACTGGGGATCCCTTCTCATCGCTGCCAACATCTACGGGTTCTTCCTCACTTTCTTTGTCTACTTCAAAGCTTACTACTTTCCTACCCATCCCGCGGATAGAAAGTATAGCGGTAGTGTCTTGTATGATCTTATGATGGGTATCGAGATGAATCCGAGGTTTGGAGAATTGTGGGATTTTAAGCTGTTCCATAACGGACGACCTGGAATCGTTGCATGGACCATGATCAACTTGAGTTTTGCTGCTGCACAGTATCAGGCTATCGGTACGGAAATAGTGGGGGAGGACGGGGAATGGAAAAGGGTGTGGGGGATGTTGGGATGGGTGAGAGGAAAGACCGGATGTTAGGATATGCGGTTTGAAAACATGCGTATGTATCTCACCACTAGGATACTAATTTATATGTTTTTTTTAGGTTATGTAACAAACTCTATGATTCTGCTAAACATCCTTCATGCGACATACGTCCTCGACTTTTTCTACAATGAAGACTGGTACTTGAGAACAATCGGTAATGTACAAAAGACAGAAACCGTATTCAGGTTTATTATTATTCGTGTGTCGTTGTGTGTGTGTTCTGCAGCATCCAAACAATGTATAACGATATATTTTTTTTTTCCTGAAACAGACATCGCTCACGATCATTTCGGATTTTATCTTGCCTGGGGTGATACTGTCTGGCTCCCGTGGATGGTGAGTTTACATAATCTCGTGGTGTTATCACGCTTTGTAGCAAAAAATTTATTATTCTCGAACGCTTTTCCATCCCAACATAGTACACTCTTCAGTCTCACTATCTGGTCCGTAACCCGGTTGACCTTTCAACGCCATATTTCCTATTTGTCCTTGCGATGGGTTTCTCTGGATACTACATATTCCGTGCAGTGAATCATCAGAAAGACTATGTACGCCGTGCGGATGGGAATTGCAAAGTTTGGGGCAAACCGGCAACGTTTATCAGAACAAAATTTATCACGTCAGATGGAACGGAGCATTCGAGTACATTAATAACTTGTGGATATTGGGGTGAGTAGGAAAGTCGTGCAAGTGCGTGAGAGAGTTGAGAAAGGAATGTGAATTGTAGAATGGGGAGTGGAAAGGATTGTCAATGCAGTGAGAATCTAACGAGAGTAGAAGACTCGCTAGCAGTAGCACACAAATCAGGCTCCGTGTTTATGCTCCATACTATACATTCCATGTTACTAAGATTCCATCTTTCCCTTTTCCTCGACGAATCCAAGGCATATCTCGTCACTTCAATTACATAGGCGACCTTCTTATCTCATTTGCCATGTGTCTCACATGCGGCTTCAAACACCTCCTCCCATACTTTTATATTATTTATATGACCATTCTCCTCGTACATCGTATAATTCGGGATGACGCTCGATGCAGAGGAAAATATGGAAAGTACTGGGATGAATACACAAGGATTGTAAAATGGAAATTGCTTCCGGTATGTCTAATAAAAGTGAACAGTATTCATTGGGGGAGGAGAAGGGGAAGATGAAGACGTTGACTAATTTTTGGCTTTTCTTTATTTCAGTACGTATACTAAAAACATTGGAAAGGGGATGTGAACGTAAAGGCTTGCGAGTGACGATAGATAACAAACATTTTAACTAGTTTAAGGAGGTAGTAATAAAAAAAATTGAATATTCAACTTTTTGTACTAATTTCACTTGGAGAAAAGCAGACTTCTTAGGCTTATCACTTGGTGATAATGTAAACCGTATATCATACTAGTCAATTTGGTCAATTTGGTCAATCTCGTAATTGAACTGTGAACGCTATCTGCCGCAGGAGAGATACGATTGGTGTCTGATTCTATTATCCATTCTTGCAAAATTGTACATGTGACTCGCATTCCAATAACAAAGTTCGGATATCACTACTACAAATTATCAAAAAAAAACTATACATTTAATTCAAACTACATAGTAAGCGTTTATCACGTTAAAATTCGTCGCCGTACGAGTAACATTGCTTTGCGCGTCCCCTTTATTTTTTCGTTTTCAGCCGATATTAAACATCGAAATATGATGTATGTGGCTGATGTACCCGATCCAGGTTCTGGGGGCGGATAAGCTTAATGCCGCAATAGTCGGAAAGGGGTCGTACACGTATATTAACATACATTTCCTCCCAAACTTAAATCTCTGACAATCACCCCGTTGTTATTTGTTGGGGAGAGGAGCCAAACAGTATGTGTCATCCGAGACCTATTCCTGGTTTGACCATTTCCTTATCGAGAATGTGGGATTAAACAACCAATAAATTTGGTCAAGACCCAAGAGAAAACCGGAAAAAAAAAAGAGATGAGAACGAATAACGATGCAATAATCGGTTTATCGGAGATTTCGGAACTGTTGTAATACATGTGTGATAGACCTATGCAGATATATTATTTTCTCTACCATTTCATGGGGCAAGGCAGAGAGTATCATAAACTATGCGTGAATAAATGGTATCCATCGTTTTTACAAATTGTATATGCCGTCGTCGTTGTTGTCGTCGTTGTTGTCGTCGTTGTCGTCGTCGTTGGTATATATACGTGTTTAATGTTTATTTAATAAAAGGTTGACTGATGTCCGGTGTTTTTTTTTTTTTTTTTGCCGTTTGATGTGACCTTCCGTAGAAATATACAAATATGCAGTCAGGCTTAATTGTTAATACAGGAATGTGAAAAAGATTGGCTGACATGGGTAGGTAAGGAACGATTGTGTTACATTCATATCGTCTTGGTCTGCATCCAGTTATCCATGATAGGCCCGGCAAATATGTCTGGGGCAATGCAAAAATGAATTTTTTGATAATAAAAGACCAGTTCCAAAATGACTATGAGAATGATATGCTACAAAAGGTGCTGCATCTTGGTATGGGTGATATAGCCTATATACTATTACATGATTTTATTCGCCTTTATTATCCGATAGCTTGACTTTGGTGTGAAAAAAATAATAATTGAACTTTAATAACCCTGGATGTAGGTTCAACGATAACTATTGGGAGAGTTGGTGACAGCAGTGTGCATCTGCTTATTAAACAACATATATCCGGAGCGGCGCCAGATGAATAGAGAACGAATAAATGGCCGTATTGTACATAATCGGTTTACATATTTGGGATCGCACATTTTATTTTTTTTTTTCGCTGCTTGATAATTAATTACAAAATGTCCAAATGTCAACTTGTGTGACCAAGCCGTGAGAAATAAAAAAAAAATATTATCCAATAACGGCGCAAGAAATACGAACATTAGATACGTGTGATAGGTAATACATATTCTATACAAATACATACAGGTATATATGTATTGGCATCCAAAAGTGTATTCATTATTCAGTCAGTCATCATTTCTCTTATTGTTCAGCCGACCATTAAGTCAGCTCATTCGGCAAACTCTATGTAAAAAAAATATTATGCAGGGCGAAGAAACTTATTTTTATCACTCGAATAAGATAAAAAAGCCATATTAAAATTTTCATATCACCTAACGTTTTAGTCGAGAATGTGACAATGTACAAATTTGTTATGATTTCTGACAATATAGGTTCTGATAAGCAAAGATTATAGGGCCGCAGAAAAGCAAAAATTTACCCAGTGTATGTTTTTATGGGAAATTGTATTACTTTACACATTCGACTATTCGATACAATATGCTAGATAATGCATGAAATACAGGAACAATAGTCCATTCAACACTTTAGAGTGTACTTTCTATCGTCACATACCCATGCTTTCAAGACCATCATCCAATCACAACACTTACTTGCGCCGACATTAGATTAACTAAGCACTGTCACAAAACGCTAAGATGCAGGACATTGCACAACTATGAATCTAATTTTTCACAATGGAATCAGGCAATGAAGAGCCATTCGAAACGAGAGAGAAGGAGAAGAAAGAAAGATCAGACATTGTTGTCAAGGCCCACTAACCCTTTTGTTTTATTGTACGTTTTGCGAAAATAGGATGTTCTGAGACGCTAACTCTAAATAAAATGTACATTACGCAATTGGTAAATTGACAAGCGTTTGTGTTTATAAACAATGCCATTTAATTTCTTTATTTATACGTTGTCATTACAGTTTCTGTAGATTTAGTCTGTACATTTATTCAGTAATACAACCATACATATATATATACACATTTGCACACACACTCACATATATTAAATATTTATTTGCACGGATCAACACACTCTTACCAATTGCTTTATTTCACTTTTTATCTCATCTTTCATGAATATTGACGTATTTATTGTACACATTTCAACGTTCCTCTATATAAGCATACAATAATGTCCCGTCATCGCAACACCTTCAACATTCTCAAGGGTAAAATCCAAGGCGTATTCCACTCCCATTCATCGTCAATAAGCGAAAAGGAGTTGAAAGATTTTAAGGAATTATACAACAAGAAGGACAACGAAACCAGTAAAGATAACAAGGAAAGAAGCGAAAGTGCTGATACAAGCACAATTGAAGGCTTAATCAACACGAGAGCCGTTACCGATACTGCCACCGAGATTTTGCCCGAATCTGCATCATCAACGGCACAACAAATGTCAAGAGTCAAAAGTACTACAATGTTAAAAATGGAAACCAATGCATCCTGGATTAAGCAGTTGGGACCCATTTCGTTTACTTCCTTGTCTGTTGGTGCTAATAATCCTCCGCTAGTGGGTAAAGACAAGGTACAATTAACATGGAAAATAAAAAGAACGATAGTGAACGACTGCAAAATAATAATAATAAAAAGAATTCAATTGAAAACTTTATTCGATTAATTCATTGACCATTCTTTAACTTTTCGCTCTATTTAAGATTCTTCTTGAACCCTATAATTATCTGCTTGCAAATCCCGGTAAAGAAATTCGAACAAAACTTATCGAAGCTTTCGACTACTGGTTGAAATTACCAAAAGAACAAATGAAGATTATCACCAAAGTCGTGACCATGTTGCATACGGCTAGTCTTTTGTGAGTAAACGGAGAGGTGGGAGAAAAGTGTGTGGGTGGGTGTGAAAGAGTAGACTGGCATTCGAATTGAAGATTAAAAAGTGTGTTTTAATAAACAAAAGGGTTTAGATGTTTGAGAGAAAAAAAATTTTTTGTTGTAATTAAATTCTTACATATCTCACGTGATTTAGAATTGATGACGTAGAGGACTTTTCCGAGTTGAGACGAGGTGTTCCAGGTATGAGTCGGATAAAAACGTCAAATTATCTCGACACACGCAATGTTATAGTTTGGCGTTTGTTGATTACAACCATTCAAATTTCAATCTTTTTTTTTTAGCCGCACATCAAATTTATGGCACACCCGCAACCATCAACTGCGCAAACTACGTGTATTTCCTTGCACTTGACGAACTTGCAAAACTCAACAACCCACGAGTGTACCAGATTTTCACAGATGAACTACTCTCTCTCCATCGTGGTCAAGGCATGGAGTTGTATTGGAGAGACACGCTAACCTGTCCGTCAGAAGAAGAATTTATTGAAATGGTATCCAATAAGACGGGAGGTTTGTTAAGATTGGCGATCAAATTGATGCAGGAGGCGTCTGAATCTAATGTGTAAGTTGAAAAAAAAAAGTCAGTGTCGTTTCGTTTATTAGACAGACCGATAAGCAATGTTTATACACAGATTTTTAACGCTTTCGATTTATTCAATCAGAGACTATGTTAACTTGGTAAACATTATCGGTATCCATTTCCAAATTCGGGATGATTACATGAACCTTCAATCTCAAAAATACATCGACAACAAGGGATTTTGCGAGGATCTAACAGAAGGGAAATTCTCATTTCCCATCATGCACTCTATTCAAAGCGATTCTTCCAGTCGTCAGCTTATTCGTAAGTATATATCAGAGAGAATAAGGGAAATGAGATGCTAGTTTGTTAAAATGTATCATTCGTAAACACCTACTATAATGACGCATCGAAGCAATTTATCCTTTTAACATAACGTTTTCGTTGTAATTCCCCCCCCCCCCCCCAGACATTCTCAAACAACACACAACTTCAATCGAACTCAAACAATATGCCGTAAAGCTGATGCAGAATACAAATTCCTTTGCATATACGAGAAAGTATCTAGCAAAGACCGAAGCCAGTGCTAGAACAGAAATCGCCAGGCTGGGTGGAAACCCAATGCTGGAAAAAATTATGGATATGTTGAGTGTTCCTGAGGATAATAATGCCGAAATGCCTTGAGGTTTAATGAGAGAAATTTATTCGTGGATTAAAACATGTAACAAAATGGCAAGTGACGGGTAAATTTGTAATGAAAGTTTTAAACTAGATTTACATAAACTTAAGAATAGTAATTTATTGTATTTGTTTCCTGTTTATACTGTAATTATAGAAAGTATCGTGTAATCAATGCGACTGGGATAATATACATATGATATTGGTGCATTCCGTTTTACATTATGTGGGATCGGATTTGATCGATCAAAAACAATAATGTCAACAGTTGTCTAAGCGGAATATGTAATATGCAATATGTCTCTTTTTTATCTATACTCGAGAACTTGTCTTGAATAAAGCTGTGGGATAATTTTTTAAATATACAACGCTGACATTTCACAATTGGTATTACGAAATATTAGTTTCACAATGCATTGTTACATATTAGTCGGCCTTTGACATCGACAATACATTTCGTCGGCAGTATGCTTAACCTTTAATAATATTATAAAAATCGGAAATCTGGAAGTTGGAATCAGAATATCAGTACAGTAATATCATTTTGACACCAACGAAGTATGAGATCAAGTTTCCAATACTCGTCATAAGTACACGTATTGTACAGAAGAAACTACTATTTCTTGTTCTGTGCGTGTAACTGTAAACCCTCTACTTTTCTAAATTACATACACACGAATTATAGAACAACAAATACAGTCTCACGTTTTATTGACTAAAGTAACATGCAAACATTCAATTTATTATTGAATAAATTATGTTAAATAATGAAGTTGACGTTCAGAACTTTACTGACTCATATACACCTTCATTATCACTTCCAGGATTCAATGCCCACATGCGATTTTTTGAAACTTGTTGCACTCGTACCTATCCTATACTACAATATTAATAGGCTAAACATCCAAAATGTAAAATGCCTCAGTGCCACTTATTATTACATAAGTAGGTGAAGAAGGAAAACGTACTATTACTGTCAACTAGGAGTAAATATATTAATTTACGATTTCGACGCATCTATGGAACTTAAACTTACTTTTATTGCATTAAATATTTACCATCAAAGACGCACATGGATCAGTCTATCGTATTCCCATAGATTATACAAAACTATATTATAAATGGCTTTCAACACATCGTTTATCTGATTTTAGATACGTTTGCGTATTCTTCCAACTTTTAACGAGTTATTTGATTTAGGCACGTGAATAGAGCCAATTATTATGTACGAGTCCTTGATGGATGTATCTCTTTTCATGTTTGCGCAATGAAGAATCGTTTGTTGTTACGTTATTAGAAAATAAGCAGCAAGTTTTTATTTGTAAAACACGATTACAATATGGTATCTAATTGAATACGATAAAATCACATAGCTTGTATACGCTGCCAATATTGAAAATCAATAACAACCAAGCCGTAAGGCTTACAAATACCTTCCTTATCGCAAGCGAAACATACTTGTATAATTGCAATTGCTAAATCTGTCGGACGTGCGACAAGTCTTCGATTACATCCGCGATGTTCGCTTGCAAATTTGGTTTGAGAAAACCTGCTTCAATATCGCAATGCCGGGTTCGTTCGGTACTAATAATAATAAAAACTATAATGGGGTGAGTAATTGATATCACACAGTCAAGGACCAAAGAAGAACGTTCACAACAGACGTAATTACAAGTAGAAGGGCCGGGGTACCTAAACGAGTAAATACGCAAGCTGCGGCCACGATGCGCTTTCAATTCTATGGTCCCTGTATCCGATTCACCACAGTCCGACCGAGCTGTTACGCTACAGTCGGTTTTTCGGAACGGATATCGAACGTTCACAACGAGTAAATCATTCAACAGTCAGGCCCCCAACGACAACGTAGTATATTTTCACTCCCAGCATCATTGAGTTTAAAACCCAACTTCGTCGGAGAACCACGATTGCCAACGTATCCTATTCACCACAAAGCCCGATTTAACGTAGCTTTTTTTCGGCGACAGAGTTTTGATCGAGTCAAAACCCCGACTTACGCCTAGTGGCAGCGTCCCTTCAGATACGTACCCGAAAGGTAAATAATTACAAGTTGTGGCCCGATGCGCTTTCGAAGATCCGGTTTTTACACCTAGTGGCAGCGTACCCCCTCGGATACAAACCATCAAAACAGCTACTCAGTAAGTTTCCTTACCTTGTCTTCAAACGTCTTTCTCTTGTTACAAAACACGTCTTTTGAACAAAATACGCGTCGTCGTCGGTAGTGAGCCTTCTTCACAGTTGGTCAGTTTTCTCAGGTCTGGCGTCAGTTTGAGTAAACAGCCTTGCTTGTTGTTAGTTTTTCACCGTGTCATAATAGAGGCTAAAAAACAGGAAGTGGTAACGCGCCTTGCAAAAGTAGGTAGATAAAAAAAAGTTTTCTTGAAGAAGAAGAAACAAAATCGAGTGCATCAAAAAAAAATTTTTTTATTACGCGTTATGCCTTTTTATGTAATACAAATACACGTCATGCAGTCACCTGCTTTATCGTTTATTATAATTTTGTCTCCATCTTTTCTTCGGTGCCTTAACTCATTTGATGACAACGATTGGTCAGTTTTCTACACTAGTCTTTATCAAGGTAAATTTCGCTTTAAATGGTTAGCGTCATGCAGTAAAGTCCGGGTCAATCTTATATAATTTTACAGTCAATAATGGAGTAATAATATTAAATTTATTTACGCAATATAAAAATATGAATTAACCTGACTTGCTATTATAAACATATCGAAATTGACGGCAAACTTTTTGTTTATTTCATTCAACCTCATTGTATGTTTACTTATTCAGGCAAAAATTTATCTCGTTCATTCCATAATTTTTCTGATCGTTTTATATGCGACTGTTTACTTGTAGACTATTATCGATAGGATATTATCGATAAATATTATCGTTACCATAAAGTTCAGGGTAATTAATTATGCGCGTGGCTTATTGGCCTTTCGTTTGTAAAACATACTATAATCGCGTTTAACAAACTCTTGCAACCTCACTGGTCGCTAATTGTGACAATCATAAACTCTATGGCCGGAACAAACGCGATATTACTTTACATTATATTGATACGCACTTATAGTGGTCGTAGGTAAGAACATTTATACTTATAAGCGCATGCGACAATTACGAACAAGTCTCCTAACAACAACACATAACGATAAAAGGTTCGAAGGTAATTGCTACTCTCCCAGCGCGCTGGCAAGTCTGATGAGTGGTGGTGCTGAAAATAAGTTCTTCATTGTTTTGAGAAAACGACCGCAAAGTAATCCCCGAACACTCTCAGACATCTCGTTAATTTTTTTTTACCCATCATTAGATGACGGGTTTGTAAGTACAACTTAAATATCGCATATTTTACTTATAAACTAACTCTACTTCTTTTCTTCTTTTTCCTCTCCTTTTCTTTTCCCTGACTGGTTTGCTGGGTAATCAGATCTTAGTGGAGTTGTGGAGCGAGTTTGAGCTGATTCGACGATTACTTAGCTGATTGTAAAGGAACTGTTTTTGAAGCCGGTTAGTCATTATTTATCTACTCAATATGTAATACTTGTAATGCTAGTTATCGTAATATTAGTATCAGATAACATTATTCCATAGAAATCAAATAATCAGATTATTCAACTTGCGTATTGACAAGTTTTCAAAAGTTATAATCGAAGACTGTCGTTATAGTGGGCTTTTGACGAGTCTCGGTATAAATTTACAATATGGTATATAACGGCCTCACCGATATGACAGACAAAAGCCCCCGCTGGAGTCGAGTATGACTGTTATATAGACCTTTACTGTCTGAAGTAAGTTTATCGCCTTGGCTGACGTTGCTATACAAATTTATGAATAAAATAAAAGTATCACTGACATTTGTATTTAACGAAATGAAGAAACCATTCTGTGCCTCTCGAATCAGTATTAAATTTATTTTTATATCCGTTTTTCTTTAATACATTTCTGTGTAAAATTCAAACTTATGCAGTGTACTTTTCGCCAAATAGGTCAATAATTTCTTAACAGACTGCACAATAATTAAATTAATTTGTAGAAATAGAAACAATTAGCGAACTACGTTGTGTCAATAAATGTTTTCCTTTTTTCTATGTTTTTCAAGTCTTTTCTTGTATTCATTTATGGAATCGCTTTTCGCATAGTAGTATATCAAGTATGGAAAGAAATCGAGCCGTTGCCTTTGCTTCCGCGTAAGCGTACACATCTCTAATTCGCATATGAGCTGTATATACGATCAGAGATCAGTTAATATTCAAAGAGAAAAATAAACAAACTGTCACACCACACTAAATATTCGGAATCTGAATTTACCTCTGCTTTTTGTTTAAGCCAAGCATGCCGACCAACAGTTTTGGCATCACCAACGACATCGCTCATTAAGGCAATCAAAATGTTCAACAACACTATCGCGGTTATGAACGTGAATGCGATTGTCAGAAGCGCAATTGTCGGATTGCCGTACGCATCACTGATATTGCCGAAATTGTTTGTCTATTAATAACAATAAAATTAATTAAAACGTCTTTGTGCAATTTATTTGAGAATGCAAGTAGATTACTTACCACAAAAAAGAAAACCGAAACTAGCGATTCTTCCGGAGTCGCGAATTGGCCTATAACTGTGCTATTGCCTACCAAATCTGTAATTTCCGCATAGGACAACAAAAGCCAGTAAATGTGCGTGTATGCAACCACCATCATTGCAATTATGAACATAATCCCTTGAACTCTGTTGAATATTTCTATTATTATAAATATTGGTATCCCAAAACCCTTGAACACTCGGAGCCGCAGAATCTATGATAGAGAACGACAGGTTAGTTAATGCTGGCAATACCCCTTGTTTGTATCTGAACATGAAGGAAATTTAAATATTACAACTGCTAAATTGATTATTTGGACGCAACGTTAGATCAATAATACTTACAAAATTGACATAGACAAAGAACATGGAACCGCCAACGTATTGACGTCTGACATCGCTTCCGGAAAGTGCCCCGATTGCGTAAGTTATCGGCATTAACGTACTTGCCAGATCAATCAAATTATATATAGTTACATAGTAAGAGCGATACGCGATCATTTGCATCACCTCAAGTCCAATAAAAATGAATCCCAATATCAGCACCACAGACGAGAAAAATCTGATTAAATGCTCGGTCTCGTTTCCCTGCTGTGCTCTTTCAGAATCGAGAGTAACAGCCGCCATGAATGAAGCAAGGTACAAGAAATATACACCAATAAAAAAGATATATCGTATTCTAGCAAATTTCCTCCATTTGAAATTAATAATAGCCTCCATGGCTGGTTCGCCAAACATATCATATCGACCTTGGAGCACCGCACTAGCAAATGGAGAAAGGTATTTGCCCCATTTAAGTACATTCAGAAATCCGAGACGTGACTCTGGTGGCTCCGGGTACTGGGTAAAGTTCGGCAGAGGAACGGTACATACAAGATACGGATAGCTCTCATTCTATTCAGAGACAAAACGAAGATTGGTGTTAATAAGAGCATAAAAAATGATAGACACTAACCAACGTGTATATCAAAATATTAATATTACCCGATGTTCATTGCTAAAAAACCTACTCCACTTAAAGACAGTATCATTATTCGCATCTGCTTTATACACATCATCGCTGCTTTTTTCCATATCTGAGTAGGCAAAGTTCTCCCGTTTATTGCTCCATACAGCGGGCCTGTTTAATTGGAAGTAACTAATAGATTTAACCAATTCCACAGCAGTGCCAGGGTGTTTTGAACACAGTCTGCTGAACGCAGGAACAACAAGTCGCAGGCTATTCTCGGGGTTAGGCTTAAACTTCGAGTTCCTATTCACCGACTTCATACTCTCTGATTTCTCCGCACTCTTGCAATAATAGCGTAGTAATGAACGGACAATTTCTGTTCTACCCAATGATATAGCGTAAGAAAGGTCTGATTGAGGACACTCGTGTTTTTCCAAATCATAAAACCTCAGAGAAATTTTTTCTTTCTTCAACAATTCCTCAATCAAAGTATTGGCCCGTTCACAATCAAATTGCATTAAAACTTTCAAGATTGATCCTTTGCTCCATATCGCTTTTGAATCATCATTTGAAATGCCTCCAATTATTTCAAGCCATAAAGGTATAAGCGGCCTGAGCCTGTGCTCTGATTCGTCAGTCGATTCAATACTGCCAAAGTCTTCAACGTGTTCAAATACATCGCCCTCGGAAGACGAAAGGGCGCGGCGAATAATCCCTTGACACTCGTCCATAAGTGTTTCATAGCGTCGATATCTTTCAGTTGGCCACGATTCTTGTTCAAATGAATTCAAAAATCCAAGAGCAAACGATGCATCTCTTACTGTGTGGAAACTGGCAGGAGCATCCTTACGTGGCAAGTGGAATCCGGTTTTAATACTATTGCTAATGCCGTCCACCTCATACTCGAAAGCGATAATAAACTCTCCGTCTGGCCCTCTCGTCAACTCTGCCCACTTAATAAAATATCCTTTAATAAAATTTTTTTCTCGATTTTTTTTAATAATTGGTCTGCACCAAATGTACTGCAGTGTTCTCTCTTCTGTGAAATTAGACCATAACTGTATTGTATGTTTGCCAATAAAAAGTACTCGGTCATTTTTATCATCCAAAATAATTGCTGTTTTGATATGGGGTGTGACCCATGGCTCTATTACAAATTGCTTAACTGCTCTTGTTTCAGAACGTGTTGAGAACATCACTTTGTTGCGACCCTTTGCTTCAAACTCGTGCACTCTCTTTCGTCTCCCCTTAGAGGAAACGGGCGGAGGAACAGGCGGAGGAACAGGCGGCGAAATGGGCGGAGGAACAGGCGGAGGAACGGGTGGAGAAACGGGTGGAGGAACGGGTGGAGAAACGGGTGGAGGAACAGGTGGAGGAACAGGTGGAGCAATAGGCGTATCACGTCCATCATCGGTTTCATATCTCTCGGCAATAAACTTCTGAGCGCATTCGAGAACTTCTTTTTCCAACTGAATCTCGTTTTGCAATTGAGATCTCAACCAAGAATGTGCTTTGGCAGAACTTTCATACCAATCATTTCTAAAATCCGCGGCAACTAGTTTCCAGTACTGCAGAGTTATCGCAGTAACCTTAACTCGGTCATCAATGACGTTCATATGGTGTAAACTGCTGAAATAATCCTCCAGATCTGCAGAAAACTCTTCTGAATTGTTGAATTCAAAAAGGCTAGCTGTCTTCCCGTTAAGAAGGAAAAAACCTGGTTTTGACTGAAAATTCAAAGACCGCCTAACAATTTGTTCGATAACTAAATGCAATAGTTGTTAGATGTATGTTAAACGATCCACAAATATTCCAAAAACTAGGGGCAAAAAAAAATAATTACCAGACGGATGTAAAACGTTCTCTTGTTCTTCAGCAAGAGTAACATTAAACGTATCCATGACTAGATTTTCCGCAACTTCGTATAAACGCTTTTCTACTTCTATGAAATGAACTTGAGAACTAATCCATTGTGTCAAACTATTAACCGGCAGCGTCCATTCGCTTTGGGCCTTCCAGTAAAAAATCTTAATACAAGTGATAATCAAAGTTGTAGACCAAACACGCATGTTCACAGACGCTAGTTGTTTGTCAGACATAATACGCGTTGCTAGGACGTGGAAAAGATCCAACGCAGAATTAAAATTGAAGTAGCAAGCTAGGCTGTTGCTAATATCAACAGAGCTAGCATTAAACGTCAGACCAATAAGGCGGTATAAGTCATTAATGTCAATTTCATCCTTGCTGAAATGGAGGCGGTCACTTTCAACTCTGGTAGAATAGAATTCAGCTTCAAGTCTAATTGCATTAATCTGTTCACAGTGCGTGTTTTTCTTACTATATGTTCCATCTGGATTGCGTGCAATCATCTCATTTAACGGTAATGAAAAACATCCAACACTGAGATCAGTCGAATTTTGGTCGTGAATTTCAAGAAGAAGCTGACCCTTTGGACTACGTACTGGTACGCAATGTATTCCGTAGACGCTGTTGACTGTGTATAC